CTCACACGGTTTGTGGTCCAATAGGGAGCTCCACTGAAGGTTTCAAAGGGAAAGTTTGCATGCATTTCCACCTCATTTCGGCGCACTCTCACGCGTTTCGTGGCCCCGTAGGGAGCTCCACCGAAGGCCCCAGTGGGAAAGTTCGCATGCAGTTCCACCATCCAGTTCGTCGTACCCCTCACACGGTTCGTGGCCCCATAGGGAGCTCCACCGAAGGCCCCAGTGGGAAAGTGCGCAAGCAGTTCCACCCCCCATTTCGGCGCTCCCCTCACACAGTCCGTGGCCCCATAAGGGGCTCCACCGAAGGCCCCAGTTGCAGGGTTCGCATGCAGTTGCACCCCCACTTCGGCTCATCTCTCATATGTTTCTTCGCCCTATCGGGAGCTTTACCGAAGACGATACACCAAGTTACGGTACTCACAGCTGCATATGGATGGGTCCTTCGCCAGGCTGTTTTTGAATTCCCCAGAGGTCTGGAGCGCGTCCGAGGGGCTGTGGCACCGCGACGGCACCGTTGTCAAGGTGGCTGGCGGGTGCACCTTCCACCGCGGCGAGCTGCTCGCCGAGGGCTCGCTCCGCGTGCGCTATCGCGGCGGCTCGCGGCTGGCGTGGGTGGCGCCCAGCGAGTTGGCGTGCCTCCGCAGGCCGGACACCGTTGGCGTGCATCCGCGGGCGCAGGCGAGCCTCCGCAGCAGTAGCGGGCCTGAGGAGTGGGGCAGCCCTGGCGCCTCAGCCGCGGCCAGCACGAATGCATCGGCCCTCGATGTTTCCGGCTGGTCGTGCCCCGGGAGTCCCAGAAGGGTCGTGCCCACAGGGCTCGAGGCCGAAGCGACTGCAGCCCATGGCGTCCACCGATCCCCGAGCTTGGAGAGCGACGCGACTGCTGGCTTCGGCTCCTGCCACGCCTCTGACCATGGCGGCCGCGCGAGGTCGAGTCAGGAGACCGTCTTCAACATGAGGCTGGGTCTCGGATCGGGTGTTGCTAGACGTGCCCCTGGCCCAAGGTGCCCCTGGCTTTTCGCTCAATTTGGGAGCCCCTGCAGCCCTCTGGGCGTCGAGAGGGGTGCTCTGGAGGCCGCCTGGGCCACCCCGAGAATCCTGGGGGCTCCTTGGGCCAAGGGCACTTCCAGCAACACCCGATCGGAGCCCCGGGGAGCGCTCGAGCCGATGGCTCCGTCCAGCGGGCTGCCCCAGGCGCTCTGGAGAGCCGCGGCCCCGCGGCCACAGTGCGGGACATCTGCCTGAGGATGGGCCGGGAGCCGCCGCCCGGAGGGGGCTGCCCCGCGTTCGAGCTCTCGGCGTTCGTCTGCCTCGACGTGCCCTCTGACGGCGACTGCTTCTTCGAGGCCTTTGCGCGGGAGGTTGCCAGGGTTCGCCGAGCGCCCTCCCCGGGCAGCGTCGAGGCGTTGTCGGCGGCGATGACGGGGGCGGAGTTGCGGCGAGAGTACGTGCACTGGCTTCAGAACTCTGTCTCAGAGGGCACGCAGTTTGATGGGGTGTGCGTGGACACGCTCGTGCAGGCGGTAGCTGGCGTACCCCTGCGGGACTACATCCAACTGATGCGCTGTGCTTCCAGCACCGACAGGAGAACGTGGGGCGGATTCCTGGACTGTTGCTTCCTTTGCGAGACACACGGCCTGAGCGCCGAGATCTACGAGCGAACAGATCAGGGCTACTGCTTATTGGTCCGCTGTGGACAGAGAGCCGCCGCCGACCCCCTCAGGCTGGCATGGCTGCGCACGCACTTCAACGTCTTGCAGCGCGTGTAGAGAGTTAGTCTAGGATTGAGACTGCGCTTCTGCTTCGGAATCTGAAGCGGAACACATTCACGACGATGACGCTACATCCGCCGACGTTACGTGTGTCTTCATGTTGCGAAGCACATGGCGGCACAGGATCAGGTGGAGATGAGGAGGATGGGGAGCAGCATGAAAAATGATCATTGGGAGGAGAACGATAAGGAAACCTATGAATCGGACGAGGATGGGCAGGAGAAGCTGGTGGAGGTGGAGGTGGAGACGGAGGGAGAGCGAGAGATACCGAGAGAGAAAGAGAGATAGCGCATTCATGTATGTGTGCGCATGTGTACGCATTCATAGTTCATACTTCATACTTGTATATCTACACTTGAGAAAATGCGGGGTGGGACCTGTTCTTACATTATACGTTCGGATATTGGACTCGTAGAGGAATCTCTCGGTGCATTTCTGTGGGCCCACTGGTCTGGAGGTCGTGGCCCGCCAGGCCCTCCTTTCTCGGGCATCCTGTGCTGCCAAGGGGGCCGTCGCAGAGGCAGTCCTGGGCCCCTCCGTGGCTCCCCTGGGACCCCGCTTGTGGGCCTCCGTGCAGCGCGCTGCAGCCCTCCCTTGGCTCCTGGGCCCGGGGCGGGGCCCCCTGGGCTCCGCCCGAATCGACCACACGTAAGAGTGACCTTTCGCCGGAGTGACCTTTTGGTGCGGGCCCAGAGGGGGGGCCCCCCGATCGCCGAACGCGAGGCGGTATTGGCGTCCTGCGCGCTCGTGTTCCGTCCCCCCACGGCCCCCCAGGAGCCGCGCACCAGAGGCCACTCTTGCCCAGAGGTCACTCCGGCGTGTAGCCGGCCGAAGCCGGGAGGCCCTGGAGATGAGCAGCCGTGGGGCCGCAAGAGGTTCTGACCGTCTGGTGGTTCCTCCCGCGCGCTTCTTCGGGCCCTCCACGCGCGCCGTCCCGTGCCTCTGGATGGGCCTGGCAGGCGTACCCCTCTGTCTCGCTGGATGTGCGTATGCGTGGACTCCCAGACCCAAGTCCATGTTGAGCAGCTGGTAGCTTCAGTCATCGATCGGTTATTTTTGCAAGCAGTTCAGGGGGCGGGGTGCAACCCTATCTACTCTCAACGCAGTCCTACGCCATGTTTTTTATCGCTCTGACGGTGGCGGGCGTTGTCCAGGGGGGGGAGGGCGGGGAGGGGGCGGGTAGTGTCACGATCTGGCGCTGACGCCGCCTCTGTAGCCGTCGAACAGTGGAAGAACAAACTCCAACCTGTGATACTTTCAGCGTCTTCCTGCTTCACGTTCTACACACTTTTTGCGAATGGCGGGTATCTCGGCTGCTCTTAGCGGCATCCTAGATGGGGTCCGAGTAGATGGGGTCGGAGGATCGCGCCGCATCGCCGATGCATCGACGATGCGGCTCGATGTGGAGCCCGTGTTCTCTCATGCCGACGTCGCCGATGCATCGCCGGCGTCGCCGATGATTCGTCGATACATTGGCGATGCGGCGATCCTCCGACCCCATCGACTCGGACCCCATCTAGGAGGCCTCTATCTTAGGGGCCTCCCGTGGCCCATCCTGAGCCCATCTTGGCGGCATCGTACCGCGCCCCTCCGGGGCCGTCACATAGGGACACCCTTTCCGACGGACCCAGAGATCACCTTCCGACCCTCCACCCTTTCACTCGCGACGCCTCACCCTCCCCACTCCCCCTTCTGTGTTTGTGTGGCAAGTCGAGAATCCCCGCCTAGCGTTATGATGTTCCAACCTACCTTTAGCCTTGAGCACCAGAAAGAATTTCGAGCACCAAGAAAGTACAGAATCCGGAGGGTTCTCACGTGTCGGGCCCTGGGAGGCGATATTCGTTCGACATTGTTTGGATACTTTTCCTGGGTGCTCAAAATTATTTCTGGGATGTGGTCCTTAAGTGCGATGTGCGCAACGTAGTCCCAGCACTTATCCTCAGGAGGCGTTCTCAGGGGCCTTTCTTTGATAGCGGAACGTTGGGGTTGTCCGTCAGAGGGGTCTGTCTTGGAAACCTCTCCAGGGGAGGGGTTCTCCTGGACAGGTTCGGGGAGCTGCCCCAGGCGCCCCCACCCTTCATTTCAATTCTGCAACTACCTGCCAATCCATCCCTTACCAGTCCAATCGGCGCTGGGGTATCCCACGCCCCCGCAGAGTTTCTCACGTTGCTGCAGACATTCTTCAAGTGTTCAACCCTGGCTTGTTCTGACGAGTGCTACGTACTATGCGCAAAGACGGTTGGTGGCAAGGGTACTCTCAACCCGCATAGGAAGGATGGGCAACCTTACCAAGGGTACCTTTGCATCCTTGCCCCTTCGGTCCATGCTTAGCGACTGTCGCTGGCCAACCTCGTTCGAAAAATGTTACCATGGGCCTCCAAGGCCCTTGCATCGTTACCGCGCATCCTTTTGATACGGCTTGATTGTATCCAACGACCAACATTTAGTACCCCGCGGCCGGTATCTCTCCGGCTGACCGTCTGAGCTTTTTGGAGGATACCTTACCCCTGTTGCCTTCTCTCCGCTTGCCCGTGGCTTGCCTTGTCGACTACTCTCCGCTTGTCTTGCTTCTCTTCTTCATATTGTCACTGCTTGCCTTGGTGACATCGTTGTTTGATGTTGGCTTGCCTCCACTTGTTTGAAGCCCGCAGGTGGCCTGCTCACCGCTTGCTCTTTGTTTGTTTGTGTGTGAAGGCATGGCTTCATGCGGACAGCTTGAGCTCGACATTATTTCAACTCAGCGTGACTTGCCCTTAGTTTACCATCGTATCTTCAGCTGCGTAGTACCCTCTTAAGCTTGATTCCAGCTCGTGGCTATTTTGCCGTTTGCCTATTGCACATACTTGGGATCTTACGTCATGGTCGTTGCTTTCAGCTTACCCTTAGCGTGCCCCCTCTGACTGGCGTATATCGCGCAGCAAGCATTCATTCGTCTGGTGTTTGCCTGGGTCTTGATGTTCCATCATCCTGCTTTATCCGCTCGCTTGCCTTCAGCCTGCTTTGAATATGTTTCTGGAGCTCGCCTTCCTTTGCTCTGAGCTGGTTGCTAGCTCGCCCTCATCCTGCTGGCTGCTTGAAGCCTCGCTGGGCGCCCAGCACCAACCAGAGTACCTGGCCATGGGAGTGGCGGGAGTTGTACCAGGTCTTTGCTCCGTCTCGCATGCCGAGAAGGGGGCACGATCTGTTCGCCCTCGTCCTCTTGCTTGCATCTGGATGCTCGCGCCGAGCATGGCCTCCCTCGTCGCACGTCGTGGCCACTGCCGCTTCTCAGGGGCGGAGCGCGCCGCATCCGAACACGCCCCGAGGCCGGAAGCGCAGGGACCCTCATGCGAGAAGCGTCACCCTCCCGCCGGGGCCGAAGGCCGCCCTCGCGCCGACGCAGCGGGCGCGAGGCCGCCCTCTGCGGCCCACCGGCAGCAGTCGAAGCCAACCGCGTGCCCGCGGCCCTAGGCCAGCTCGGCCGCGCCGCCCTCTCGGCTGCGCTCGGTCCGCATCGGCTCTTCCTCCTCCTCCTCCTCCTCCTCCTCCTCCTCCTCCTCCGCCCTCCTCCCCCTCCTCCCCCTCCTCCGCCCTCCTCCCCCGCCCTCCTCCCCCTCCTCCGCCAACCTCCTCCTCCTCCTCCTCCTCCTCCTCCTCCTCCTCCTGCTCCACAATTACTCAATATGAAAATACTCTCCCTCTTCCCCTGATGGCGTCCAGGTGATGGCCGCGCACCCTCCGCGTACTGTTTTTTACACAGGATCCCCGGGAAATCCCGGGAAACGACTCTCGCTGAGGCGCCGGCGTCATTTTTTCCCAAAATGTTGCTCGCTCTCGTTGAGGCGCCGGCCTCATTTCTGCTCCCGAATCGTTCCGAATCGTGCGCCCGCTGCAGCGTGGGCCTCATTTTCGGATCGGTGTTTGGCCTCCGTCGTTCAGGATGGCGTTCTCGCCCCAGCGCGGGCCTTTTACTCGCGCGCCCATCCGCCCGCCACCACCGCGCCGCACCGCCACCACCACCACCATCACCACCACCACCACCACCACACACCACCACCACCACCACCACCACCACCACCACCACCCACCACCACCACCACACAACCACCACAGCACCACCACCACCAACACCACCACCACCACACCACCACCACCACCACCACCACCATCACCACCACACCACCACCACCACCACTACCACCACCACCACCAACGACAACCACGCACACACGCACGCACGCACGCACGTGCACCACCACCCACTACGCACGCGCGCGCGGAGCCACAGGTCCGCTACGACACGCGTCCGCGGATAGAGAAAATCAGCGCCATGGTAAGGGATGGGAGGGAGGGGTAGGACGTCAGATATGACGCGAGCGCACCTAGCTTGTCCTCTCCCCCTCCCCCTCCTCCTCCTCCTCCTCCTCCTCCCCCTCCCCCCCCCTCCTCCACAATTACTCAATATGAATACTACTCTCCCTCTTCCCCTGATGGCGTCCTGGGAACATTCGACACCCCCCCCGCGTACTGTTTTTTTACACAGGATTTCCGGGAGTTGGGTTTTCGCTTGCGTTTTTTTTTTTTTTTTTTTTTTTTTTTTTTTTTTTTTTTTTTTTTTTTTTTTTTTTTTTTTTTTTTTTTTATAATGCTGCTCTCGCTGAGGCGCCGGCCTCATTTCTGCTCCCGAATCGTTCCGAATCGTGCGCCCGCTGCAGCGTGGGCCTCATTTTCGGATCGGTGTTTTGCCTCCGTCGTTCAGGATGGCGTTCTCGCCCCAGCGCGGGCCTCTTTCTCGCGCGCCCATCCGCCCGCCACCACCGCGCCGCACCACGCCCCGCCCCGCCGCACGCACACCCACCGCCACTTCCACCCACCAACGCACGCACGCACGCACGCGCACCACCACCGCGCACCGCCACCACCACCGCACTACCCCACCCACCACCACCACGCTACACCGCGTCACACCACATCACACGCGCGCACACACAGACACACACGCACGCACGCACACACACGCACACACACACGCACACAGACACACACACACACACACACACACACACACACACACACACCACCACCGCCACCACCACCACCGCCATCACGCACGTACGCACCTGGCCCACCACCAAACCACCAAGACGCCACACCACGTCACACCACAGCACACGCGCACACACGCACACACACACACATACACACCACCACCACAACAACCACAACCACGCACACACGCACGCACGCACGCGCACCACCACCCACTACGCACACGCGCGCGGAGCCACAGGTCCGCTACGACACGCGTCCGCGGATAGAGAAAATCAGCGCCATGGTAAGGGATGGGAGGGAGGGGTAGGATGTCAGATGTTGACGCGAGCGCACCTAACTTGTCCCCCTCCCCCTCCCCCTCCTCCCCCTCCTCCTTCTCCGTGCCGGTCATCGTTCGGCTGCTCGTGTTTTCTTTGCTGCTGGCGCGGCGGGCCGTCGGGCCTGCTGCCGCCGCGGGCGGCTCCAGAGGGGCAGGGGCAGGAGGGGCCGGCGGCGGCACGGGGGCCGTGGGGCTCTGTGGCCGTGGTGTTCTGAGGCCCACCGCTCTCCGTGATTTTCCTTTTCTTTTTTTCTTCTCTTTCTTTCTCTCTCTCTCTCTCTCTCTTTTTGTTTCTCTCTCTCTCTCTCTTTCTCTTTTTTTTTTTTGTTCTCTCTCTCTCTCTCTCTCTCTCTCTCTCCCCCCCCCCAGTTTCGCCCCCTTCTTTGTTCTCTCTCTCTCTCTCTCTCTCTCCCCCCAGTCTCGCTCCCTTTTTTGTTCTCTCTCTCTCTACTCTCTCCCTCCGTGTCTCTCTCCCTCCGTCTCTCTCGTGCTCCTTCCTCGTCCCATCCCTTCCTCTGCCCCCCCTTTCTCCCTTATCTTTCTTCCTGCTCGCTGTGTGCAGACGTATAGCTGTTCCCACCCTCTCTCTCTTTGTGTCTCGCTTTCTCTCTTTCTCTCTCTCTCTCTCTTTGTGTGTGTGTGTCTCTCTCTCTCTCTCTTGTTTGTTGTTTGATATGTATATGTGTATATATATATATATATATATCATATCCCCAGTTTCTTTATACGTGTATGTGTGTATTGCCATCCACCAGCCTGCGCGTCGCCCGCCCAGGCGGGTTGAACATGCGTCGACGGGGGAGTTCTACTACTACAACGAGGCGACCAACGAGACCTCGTGGGATGTGCCGCCAGGATTCAAGGAGGAGCTCGCTCTCGCTTCCTTAGCTCCTTGTGTGTCTCTCTCTCTCTCTCTTTCTCCCTGTCTCCCTCTCTTTTTCTCTCACTCGCTCTCCTTCTCGCTTTCCGTCTCGCCCTCCCTCTCTCTCGTTTCGTTTCTCCCCCTTTCTCGGTTTCTTTCTGGGTATAAGCATTTTACTTACTATAGCTTGTTGACCCAATTGCCTTAACCAGGGTTGGCCGTAGGCAGTTCGCCGGGTAATGGGGGGTGGTGGTGGCGGGTTGGACAGAGGGGTCTTGGCAGGGCTTGTCGTTGCAGGGAAGTTTGCGCCGTCGCAAATGTGCATGAGCATTAGAAGCGATGTTGCGAGGTCTGGGTCCTGATTTGCCTTTGATGTTTCAAGCGTTGTCATATTCCTCCACCCATCCAGATTCAAATGCGAGTACCGCGGTTGAGAGAATTGTCTCGTTGGAGCTCCCCATTGCGCCACGAGCACGCGAGGGGCGCGCCATAATGGTGGGGGATGGCGCATGCGAATTGTGCCATTGGGGCCTTCCCAAGGTGGAGGTCCCTGTGGGGCCACGAAGCGTAGGTAGGGTGCGCCGAAATGGGTCCTTGGTCCGCATGCGAACGTCGACGCTGAAGCTTTCGGTGGAGTTCCCTATGGGGCCACGACGAGTGAGGGCAGTGTACCGAAACGGGTGCGGCGTTGCCATGCTGGCGCGGCCACTGGGGCCTTCGGTTGAGCTCCCTATTGGGCCACGGGACGTGTGAGGCGTGTGCCGAACCGGGCGGGGGGGGGGGCGCATGCGAACGTCGCTACTGGATCCTTAGGTGTAGCTTCCCATCGGGCCACGCAACGTGAGGGGTGTGCCGAAAAGGGTGGGTGGGACGGGGGGGCGCATGCGAACGTCGCCGTTGGGTTTTTTTTGGCGGAGCTCCCTATGAGGCCACGCAACGTGTCAGCGGTGTGCTGACATGATTTGGGGGGACGCATGCGAACGTCGCCATTGAGGCACTACGTGGAGCTCCCTATGGGGACACGGGACGTGTGAGGCGTGTGCCGAAATGGGCTGGAAGGACGAATGCAATCGTCGCCATTGTGTTTCTTGGCGGAGTTCCTATGGGGCCACGAAGCTCGTGAGGGTTGCCGAAACGAGTGGGAGAGGATGCGTACGAATGTCGTCACTGGGGCCGTGCGTGAAGCTCCATACGGGGGCGCTATGCGTACAGTATGAGGCTTGTGCAGAAATTGGCGGGGAAGACGCATGTGAACGTCGCCACAGGGGACTTCGGTGGAGTTCACTAGGGGATCACGAAGCTCGTGAGGGGTGCTCCGAAACGGTTGACATGCGGAGGTCAGACGCAGGGATGCAAGGAGGGAGGAGGGAGAGGAGGAGGAAGGAGGGAGCAGTGGGTGGCGTTGGGCGCTGTCCTTCCAAAACGAGGACCGAACTCCACAGGATTATTGGGACAAGATATGACTGGTCGTGGGCGCAGACAACTCGACGCTGACGGGTCGTCGAGGATTGTGGCCAATTTGTAGCCGGATGTGCCGACGATCTTCAACGTTCTTTTGCAACGAAAGGCTTCCACCATTCTCGGAGGCTATTTTCAGGCATTGGGCAAAGCCTGGAGGACGAGTTTGTTGTTTACAAACACTGGTGAGCGCCGTGGGGGCTGCGGCCCCAAGAGTCCACCCCTTGCAGGTCGGACCCAGCTGGTGTATAGTGTTCAGTCGTTCGTTCGTTCAGTGGTCAGTGGTCTGGTTAGGGGTGGGTTAGATGTTGGCTGGGCTCACCTTCTACCCTTGCCCCTTCCACCCCAGGGTCTCCTTCCTACACGCGCCTTCTCCACCCCCTTCCCCTTCTCTTTCCTTTTGCCCTCCATCCCCTCTCAGGCCCGCCCCCGCGGAGGCAAACGGGTGCGGCGGGGAATGATGAGGAAGAGAAGAATGACGGAGAGGAGGAGGATGAGGAGGAGGAAGAGGAGGAGGAGGAGGAGGAGAAGGAGGAGGAGGACTAACAGGTGGAAGAGGGGGAAGAGGAGGAGGAGGAGGAGGAGGAGGAGGAGGAGGAGGAGGCGGAAGAAGACGAGGAAGACGAGGAGAAGGAGGACGAGGTGGAGGATAACAATGCGGGCTTGTTTGTAAGTGGAGGAGAAGGGAGGCAAATTACGAAATTTACGAGGAGGGAGGAGAGACGTCGGCGGGATGTGGGGTTGTTCGAACATGCCTACTCGCCCATGGCGCACTTCGTTCGCTGCGCCGCCGATGCTTGCAAGGCTTCTACCAGGGAGCTCATTCGAAATGTGCCGGACCGCGGTCGACGGTCTCCTATTGCCAGCGGTGCTGCACGGATGCCAGGAGTTTCAGTCCACATTTGTGGGCTCATTTCCAGCTCACATTGCAGCGGGAGCGTTTTTCTTTTGATGAGCCTCCCGTTGCAGGGTCCGTGCCTCTCCCCTCCCGTGTGATTGTAGTGCCCCTCCCGTGATTTTTTCCTGAACGCGCCGGCATGCTTCCACTGCATGCCACCACGCTGCCAGCGCTGCTGCTAGGACGCGCACGCCAAGCGGGCTGGCTCACAGCAACCGCGCGTCGATGCGCCAGCTTTGCCAGCAGGAAGCTCGTTGCGAGCGTGCCGGCTCACATGTCGAAGGCGCTCGCATTTTGCCAAGGATTCCGGCTGGAAGAAGAGTCCCAGCGCGTTCGGCGATCATTCCGCTGCCAGCGCGGCTGCCAGGAAGTTCAGTCCGAGCGTGCCGGCTCGCTTTCTGGCGCACAGCTCGCTGCTGGAAAGGGTTGGCCGGGGCTGGTCGGGGGGCTAGCGTGCGTCATGTTTTGATGAGCCTATTCTGCGTAACATGTAGTATGTGTTTGCCCGTTATGTTTTGTTTGCTCTCCCTGTACATGTTTGTATGCTTGTACGCATGTATGTATGTATGGATACATGCATGTACATGTATATGTATTCGTATGTGTATTATATGTATATGTCTATGTATATGTGTGTATGCATATGTATATGTATATGTTTATGTATACGTATGTATGTATGTATTAATGTAGGTAGGAAAGCAGAGATGCAGGTATTCAGGTATGTAGGTATGTAAGATATTAATGTATGCATTTATACATGTATGTACGTGTGTATGTTCGTGTGTATGTATTTCTGTATGCATACATGCATGTATGCATGTGTGTATGCTTGTGTGCATGCATATATCTGTATGTATATATGTATGTTTGGATGCACGTCTTCATGTATGTATGCCTGCATGCATGCATGTATATGTATGCATGCGTGTATATATATATATATATATATATTATTGTATGCATGCATGCATGTAGATAGGTAGGTCGGCAGGTAGGTCGGCAGGTATGTATGCATGCATGGATGCATGCATGTGGCTGTTTATGTATGTATGTATGTATGTATGTTTAACTGTATTTAGGTATGTATGGATGTATGTATGTATGTATGGATGTACGCACGTACGTACGCACGTACGTGTGTGTGTATGTATGTATGTATGTATGTATGTATGTATGTATGTATGTAGGTGTGTATGTATGTGTGTGTATGCGTGTATGTTTGTGTATATGGTTGTATGTATGTATATATGTATATATATGCCTGCATGCATGTATGCTTGCATGTTTGTACGTGCGTACGTACGCATGCATGTATGTATGCATGCGTGTACGTATGTATGTATGTATGTATGTATGTATGTGTGTATGTATGTATGTATGTATGTATGTATATATATATGTATGTATTTATGTATGTATGCATGTATGTACACATGCATACATGTAGGTATATATATATGCATGTATGTATATTTGTATGTCTGTATGCATGCATGCATGCATGTATAGGTGCATGCATGTATACATACATGCCTGGCTGCATGCATGCCTGCAAGTATGCATGTAGGCATACATGCATGTATGCATGGGTGCATGCATGTGTGCATGTATGTATGTATACGCGCCCCTATCAACCAGATGTGTTTATATATTCATGTGTGTGTCCAGCGCCGATCCAAGAAATCCGCGGGGACCTTTGCTCGTTGACATTTTTCCAATTACGCAGCGCCTCCTTCTTTTGCTGACCCCCTCATCGCCAGCAAGGGTTGACGGAGCTGGCTTGGACTGCACGCCGCCCGTGCGCGATCCACTCCTTGCGAGAGTCCCTCGGCTCACCGCTGGGCCCTGCTCTGACGGGCGGATGCTGCCCTCCCCGCCCGTGGCTGGTGGCGCGCGGGGCTCTGCCTGGACCTCCCTCCCGAAGGCGAGGGCCCCCCCCCTGAGCGCTCTTTCTCGTGGGGGCGGCAGGTTCTGGATGGTCCCCGGGCCCGAGCGAGATCCCCTAAGCACCCCCGGAGCCCCACCTGCAGGAGCAACGTGCTTCTGCTGTGCTTCTGCTGTTCCACATGTCGCCTGGGGGTCTGGATTCCCACTGCCTCCCATGCCCCCCCCTGTCTTCCCCTGCGCTGGCTTGGTCGAGTCCTTCAATCGAGGAAGGAAAACCACCCCGACCCCATAACTGGCGTTTGCTAGATGGCCATGGGCGTTAATTGAACAGCCTTGCACTGTTCGATTCCTCCCTTGGGTGCACTTACTAAACTGCTTCACTTGTCGGGGTGCTTATTACGAGGGTTGTTCTGCCTTATAGTCAAGCTGGAGGGCGGCTTTCCGCATGAGGAGGAGTCGGACCGGCTCCAGAGGGTGGTCAGGATCCGCACCACGGCAGCTCCTCCATTGCATCACTCCTCCAACTCCCATCAGCGACCCCGCAAGCCCTTGTCTCTCGAGCTAGCAGAGGTGATGGGCTGTCACCCCTTTCCGCAGTTCTCTCCAGGACGAGGAAGTGAAGACGGAGGCCAAGACCGAGACCAACGCGAACGCTGGAGCCAAGGCTAAAGCCAAGGCCAAGGCGACGACGATCGAAGCGGAAGAGGTGCAGAAGAGCACCGGCAAGCCTGACCAGGTATTCGGTGGCGTCTCGTTCTCCTCGTGATCCTGCCTCCCTCCCTTCTTCCTTCTTTTTCTTCTTCTTCTTCTTCTTACATCCCACCTATCTCCTCTTAGCTCCGACTTTTAACTGCCGCTTATTCCAAAACGTTTCTTTCCTCCCTATCCCCCTCCCTCGAAATCCTTCCCCTCTCCCCTTCTCCCTCCTCCCTGCCTTTTCCTCCCTCCTATTCGCTCATCCCTCCTCCGTCTCCCTTCGGTCGAGGGCGAGTTCGAGGAGGTTGTGGAGGTTGAGGACGAAGAGGGGGGAGGAGAGAGAGTAGGAGAAGGAGGAGAAGGAGGAGGAGGAAGAGGAGGAGGAGGAGAAGGAAGGAAGGAAGGAGGAGGAGGAGGAGGAGGCGGAGGAGGAGGGGGAGGACGAGGAGGACGAGGAGGACGAGGAGGAGGAGGAGGAGGCGGAGGAGGAGGAGGAGGAGGTGGAGGAGGAGTGCGACGAGGGGGAAGAAGCGGCACAGGCGGAGGAGGCCGCGGAGCCCAACGCTGCCGAGGGCACGAAGGACGCGAGCGAGCCGAGCTCGTCGGAGGCCTGCCCGGGCTCCCCAGCGCCCAGCCAGCCCACCCAGGCCGCCGACGCCGTGTGTTTCTGGAGGGTGTCGGCCGTTCCCTCTGCTCTGTCCCCTCCTCCTGCATGGTGGCCCAACTCGCTACAACGGTACCCCCGTTAAGGTTGGCCTTCGCCAGCGTAGTAACTCTGCCTAGCCGCCGACGCAAAGAGAGAGAGAGAGGGATAGAGGGAGAGAGAGAAAACAGTTTCTGGAGGGCTGCGCCCTCCGCCGTCTTCCCATCGGCGGAGCCATCTTGTGGACAGTCTGGTGCACGTCGTGGGCCATCTCAGGCTATCGTGGCGTGTCTCTGGGGCTGCTTACAGGTGAAACCCGTGCCAAGACACACCCTGCTTGTCTCCAGGGTGCTCTGGGTGTCTTGGGTTTCGAGGGCTTCGCTATGGGACGCGTGACGTTCCTACACAAATTCAAGGGACGCCCTGGGGTTCCAGGGTTTGGTTTCCTGTGGGAGGTTTCTTGTGGTCGAGCTCCTACTGTAGTCCGCGGATCTTCCTGGGCACTCTTGGGGTTCTATGCACGCCTGTGCAGCCTATCTCGTCGGCGTCTTTGGGGCCCTCCTGTGGTCTCGTTGGGCTATGCTGGGCTGCTTGGGTGGCATCTTGGGCATGTTGGGACCACCATGTGGTCATCCATGGCTTGGGGGTCTCTGGGGGCCGTCTTAGAGAGTTGATTAAATATCTGAGGAGCGAAACATCGGACAGTCAACACGTTTTGAAAACGCAAGGTTTTTCCACATACTGTGTACCCTCTCAGGTTCGTTTTGGGGCCCTTTTGGTCAGCCTTGAAGGCATCTCGGGGCCATCTTTGGCCGTCTTGTTCTCTCGACGTTCTCTCTCCGGAGCCTCCTGGGTCCTGGTGCCGTCCTGACTCTGCGGTGGCGTTCAATGTGAATCTTAAGGCAACCGGAAATGGCCAAGATCCGTAAGGGCTTCGCCCCCTGCCGCCGGCCCCCCCTCTCGGAGAATGGGCCATGGAAGAGCTAAGACATGAGGCCTTGGCGCTGTCGTGAAGCAGTATCGAAACTTCATGCGAAGCCGATTCGCAATCAACATAACCAACTGATCACAAGATGGGTTACCACACCTGGCGATTGGTAAGACGTGTATGGTTTACGGGCTTAGTTACCACACCTTGCGATTAAAGGGCCGAGGGAGTTCTCGCAGTTTGGGTTACCACGCCTTGCGATGGATGTGCGTGAAGTGTGGCACCGAATTTCAGAAATGTACCAAATCCCCTGTGTTTTTGGACCCTGACCCCGCGGATCTGCGTAAGGGGTGGCACCGAATTTCAGAAATGTGGCAAATCCCTTGTGTTTTTGGACCCTGACCCCGCGGATCTGCGTGAGGGGTGGCACCGAATTTCAGAAATGTGGCAAATCCCTTGTGTTTTTGGACCCTGACCCCGCGGATCTGCGTGAGGGGTGGCACCGAATTTCAGGAAATGTGGTAAATCCCCTGTGTTTTTGAACCCTGACCCCGCGGATCTGCGTGAGGGGTGGCACCGAATTTCAGACATGTGGCAAATCCCTTATGTTTTTGGACCCTGACCCCGCGGATCTGCGTGAGGGGTGGCACCGAATTTCAGAAATGTGGCGAATCCCCTGTGTTTTTGGACCCTGACCCCGCGGATCTGCGTGAGGGGTGGCGCCGAATTTCAGAAATGTGGCAAATCCTTTGTGTTTTTGGACCCTGACCCCGCCGATCTGTGTGAGGGGTGTCGATTTCGAGCCCCCCCAGCAATTCAGACAACGCGCCCAGGAGGTGCTAAATATGTGGTTTGGGCCTCTCCCCCCTCGCGCGGTCAATCAACTAGTTACAGTACCCAGCAAGAAGCAGAACTGTAACACTGGAAACTACAAGCTACAGCTGGTACAGGAAACTGCGAACCTACAGCCTGGTGGCCCCACAAGGGGGCCGCCGGATTTTGACGACTCACCCATGTTCACCTTCCCCTATTCGGCGATACACGGTCCTCCTCGAACTGCGAGCTTAGTACGATCCGGCATTCGCATACTGTCACACATCATATATGATACATGGGTCGTGCAAGCGATTTTCGAAGCAGGTAGTCAAGTCAAAGGCGCATTCCACTACAAAGTCTTTGCTATGCGAACGATGCAACCGAAGACGTACATGTATGTGTGTATATATATATATACCAGTCGTGCGTATGCAGTAGTGGCGCGTGCACGTGCAGTACGACGTGCCACTAAGTTTGATCGCTGTATTGTCAAGGAGCCGCCGTCCATCCGATGAATTGTTGAATCTGGTTAGGCTTCGGTTGAACCGATTCGTGGAAGTCGTGTGCGATACGCCCCATGTTGAAACACGAACCGCCATTCAGTCGTGCAGCTCTTGCACAACTTTGACGTTCTGGTCCTGATGTTCCATCAATTTCCAAGCAGTTGATTCATTTCGAAGAGGGGCCTCCGTCAGTCCGTGTTATCGTTGGATGCATTAAATGCAAATGTGCGCGGGTCCAATGCGAGAACCACCTTTTGCAAACGCGTCTACCTCGTTGCCATTTGATTTGGATGTTAGGCAATGGGTGCGTGGCGCCAAGTCGGCACATGCATTTTGAGCACGGCTGCCTTCCATCCGCGTAATCTTTGAACATTTTGAGCGTCATGATAATGTGTGATGGGATACCCAGCGAAACGCCAGGCTCGCCCTACCGAGACGCCATGGCGGTATGACGAGGGGGAACCATTGATTTAGTAAAGGGGGGGGAAGAGGTTTCCGCAAATGGAGCAGGACGGACAAGCAGGAGAGGTCGTCTTATTGGACAAGTCGCCTGCAGCATGAGGAGGAGGAGGAGGAGGAACAGGAAAAGGAAGAGGTTGGGGATGGAGTGAGAGGCGAAGGCGGGGGCCTCGTTCCTCTTGACGACATGCCTACTCACCCAGTGGCACATTCTGGACCTCCCTCCCGAAGGCGAGGGCCCCCCTCTGAAGTTTTTTTTTCCGTGGGGGGGGCAGGTTCTGGATGGTCCCGGGGCCCGAACGAGATCCCCGAGCACCCCTGGAGCCGCACCTGCAGGAGCAACGTGCTTCTGCTGTGCTTCTGCTGTTCCACATGTCGCCTGGGGGTTTGGATTCCCACTGCCTCCCATGCCCCCCCCCCTGTCTTCCCCTGCGCTGGCTTGGCCGAGCGCTTCAATCGAGGAAGGAAAGCCACCCCGACCCCATAACTGGCGTTTGCTAGATGGCCATGGGCGTTTTAATTGAACAGCCTTGCACTGTTCGATTCCTCCCTTGGGTGCACTTACTAAACTGCTTCACTTGTCGGGGTGCTTATTACGAGGGTTGTTCTGCCTTATAGTCAAGCTGGAGGGCGGCTTTCCGCACGAGGAGGAGTCGGACTGGCTCCAGAGGGTGGTCAGGATCCGCACCACGGCAGCTCCTCCATTGCATCACTCCTCCAACTCCCATCAGCGACCCCGCAAGTCCTTGTCTCTCGAGCTAGCAGAGGTGATGGGCTGTCACCCCTTTCCGCAGTTCTCTCCAGGACGAGGAAGTGAAGACGGACGCCAAGACCGAGACCAACGCGAACGCTAGAGCCAAGGCTAAAGCCAAGGCCAAGGCGACGACGATCGAAGCGGAAGAGGTGCAGAAGAGCACCGACAAGCCTGACCAGGTATTCGGTGGCGTCTCGTTCTCCTCGTGATCCTGCCTCCCTCCCTTCTTCCCTCTTCTTCTTCTTCTTCTTACATCCCACCTATCTCCTCTTAGCTCCGACTTTTAAGCGCCGCTTATTCCAAAACGTTTCTTTCCTCCCTATCCCCCTCCCTCGAAATCCTTCCCCTCTCCCCTTCTCCCTCCTCCCTGCCTTTTCCTCCCTCCTATTCGCTCATCCCTCCTCCGTCTCCCTTCGGTCGAGGGCGAGTTCGAGGGGGTTGTGGAGGTTGAGGACGAAGAGGGGGGAGGAGAGAGAGTAGGAGAAGGAGGAGAAGGAGGAGGAGGAAGAGGAGGAGGAGGAGGAGAAGGAAGGAAGGAAGGAAGGAAGGAAGGAAGGAGGAGGAGGAGGAGGAGGCGGAGGAGGAGGGGGAGGACGAGGAGGACGAGGAGGACGAGGAGGACGAGGAGGAGGAGGAGGAGGAGGCGGAGGAGGAGGAGGAGGTGGAGGAGGAGTGCGACGAGGGGGAAGAAGCGGCACAGGCGGAGGAGGCCGCGGAGCCCAACGCTGCCGAGGGCACGAAGGACGCGAGCGAGCCGAGCTCGTCGGAGGCCTGCCCGGGCTCCCCAGCGCCCAGCCAGCCCACCCAGGCCGCCGACGCCGTGTGTTTCTGGAGGGTGTCGGCCGTTCCCTCTGCTCTGTCCCCTCCTCCTGCATGGTGGCCCAACTCGCTACAACGGTACCCCGTTAAGGTTGGCCTTCGCCAGCGTAGTAACTCTGCCTAGCCGCCGACGCAAAGAGAGAGAGAGAGAGGGATAGAGAGAGAGAGAGAGAAAACAGTTTCTGGAGGGCTGCGCCCTCCGCCGTCTTCCCATCGGCGGAGCCATCTTGTGGACAGTCTGGTGCACGTCGTGGGCCATCTCAGGCTATCGTGGCGTGTCTCTGGGGCTGCTTACAGGTGAAACCCGTGCCAAGACACACCCTGCTTGCCTCCAGGGTGCTCTGGGTGTCTTGGGTTTCGAGGGCTTCGCTATGGGACGCGTGACGTTCCTACACAAATTCAAGGGACGCCCTGGGGTTCCAGGGTTTGGTTTCCTGTGGGAGGTTTCTTGTGGTCGAGCTCCTACTGTAGTCCGCGGATCTTCCTGGGCACTCTTGGGGTTCTATGCCCGCCTGTGCAGCCTATCTCGTCGGCGTCTTTGGGGCCCTCCTGTGGTCTCGTTGGGCTATGCTGGGCTGCTTGGGTGGCATCTTGGGCATGTTGGGACCACCATGTGGTCATCCATGGCTTGGGGGTCTCTGGGGGCCGTCTTAGAGAGTTGATTAAACATCTGAGGAGCGAAACATCGGACAGTCAACACGTTTTGAAAACGCAAGGTTTTTCCACATACTGTGTACCCTCTCAGGTTCGTTTTGGGGCCCTTTTGGTCAGCCTTGAAGGCATCTCGGGGCCATCTTTGGCCGTCTTGTTCTCTCGACGTTCTCTCTCCGGAGCCTCCTGGGTCCTGGTGCCGTCCTGACTCTGCGGTGGCGTTCAATGTGAATCTTAAGGCAACCGGAAATGGCCAAGATTTTGACGACTCCCCCCATGTTCACCTTCCCCTATTCGGCGATACATGGTCCTCCTCGAACTGCGAGCTTAGTACGAACCGACATTCGCATACTGTCACACATCATATATGATACATGGGTCGTGCAAGCGATCTTCGAAGCAGGTAGTCAAGTCAAAGGCGCATTACACTACAAAGTCTTTGCTATGCGTATGATGCAACCGAAGACGTACATGTGTGTGTATATATACATATAACGGCGCACCGGGTCCGGGGGCCCGGGGCCGGGACCTCGACCACAAATGTGGGCTCCGGGGGGCCGGAGGCTCGTCGGGGCTTGCCGGAGGCCTCCCCGGTCAGACAAGACGGCCCCAGGAGCGCCCAAGACGGCCCAAGAAACTTCCAAGAGGCCTCCAAGAGGGCTCCGAGATGCTGAAGATGGCCTCCAGACGTCCAAGGACGCCCCCAAGAGGCCCCAAGAAGCCTCCAACATGCGTCCCAAGAGGGCCCCTAGACGCAAAAATTGGCCCATTCCCTTCGTAAAACGTACATTTTCAACAAAGTTGTCTTTTGGGCTTTCCGACGTTACAGGACGGCCCAAGAGGCGCCCAAGACCGCCCCAAGACGGCCCAAGAAGCTTCCAAGAGGGCCCCAGGACAGCCCAAGAGGGCCCCAAGACGGCCCAAGAGGCGCCCAAGATGGCCCAAGAGGGCCCCAAGACGGGCCCAAGAGGGGGCCCAGAGGGGGACCACGAACCGCAAGCTCGAGCCTTCCGCCCCAAGAGGCCGCCAGGAGGCCCCCAGGAGGCCCCTCAAGAGGCCCCAGGAGACCCCAGACGTCCAAGGACGCCCCCAAGAGGCCCCAAGAAGCCTCCAACATGCGTCCCAAGAGGGCCCCTAGACGCAAAAATTGGCCCATTCCCTTCGTAAAACGTACATTTTCAACAAAGTCGCCTTTTGGGCTTTCCGACGTTACAGGACGGCCCAAGAGGCGCCCAAGACCGCCCCAAGACGGCCCAAGAAGCTTCCAAGAGGGCCCCAGGACAGCCCAAGAGGGCCCCAAGACGGCCCAAGAGGCGCCCAAGATGGCCCAAGAGGGCCCCAAGACGGGCCCAAGAGGGGGCCCAGAGGGGGACCACGAACCGCAAGCTCGAGCCTTCCGCCCCAAGAGGCCGCCAGGAGGCCCCCAGGAGGCCCCTCAAGAGGCCCCAGGAGACCCCAGACGTCCAAGGACGCCCCCAAGAGGCCCCAAGAAGCCTCCAACATGCGTCCCAAGAGGGCCCCTAGACGCAAAATTGGCCCATTCCCTTCGTAAAACGTACATTTTCAACAAAGTTGTCTTTTGGGCTTTCCGACGTTACAGGACGGCCCAAGAGGCGCCCAAGACCGCCCCAAGACGGCCCAAGAAGCTTCCAAGAGGGCCCCAGGACAGCCCAAGAGGGCCCCAAGACGGCCCAAGAGGCGCCCAAGATGGCCCAAGAGGGCCCCAAGACGGGCCCAAGAGGGGGCCCAGAGGGGGACCACGAACCGCAAGCTCGAGCCTTCCGCCCCAAGAGGCCGCCAGGAGGCCCCCAGGAGGCCCCTCAAGAGGCCCCAGGAGACCCCAGACGTCCAAGGACGCCCCCAAGACGCCCCAAGAAGCCTCCAACATGCGTCCCAAGAGGGCCCCTAGACGCAAAAATTGACCCATTCCCTTCGTAAAACGTACATTTTCAACAAAGTTGTCTTTTGGGCTTTCCGACGTTACAGGACGGCCCAAGAGGCGCCCAAGACCGCCCCAAGACGGCCCAGAAGCTTCCCAGAGGGCCCCAGGACAGCCCAAGAGGGCCCCAAGACGGCCCAAGAGGCGCCCAAGATGGCCCAAGAGGGCCCCAAGACGGCCCAAGAGGCGCCCAAGATAGCCCAAGAGGGCCCCAAGACGGCCCAAGAGGCGCCCAAGAGGGCCCAAGAGGGCCCCAAGACGGGCCCAAGAGGGGGCCCAGAGGGGGACCACGAACCGCAAGCTCGAGCCTTCCGCCCCAAGAGGCCGCCAGGAGGCCCCCAGGAGGCCCCTCAAGATGCCCCAGGAGACCCCTGACGTCCAAGGACGCCCCCACGACGCTTCGCGTCACCAATTTCTTCTCACAGCGATTCCTGGGTCTGTGACTCGACAGAACCTAAGCGCGCGCGAAGCGCGCGCGTGGTTCTAGTATATATATATATATATATATATATATATATGTATCAGACGTGCGTATGCAGTTGTGGCGCGTGCACGTGCAGTACGACGTGCCACTAAGTTTGATCGCTGTATTGTCAAGGAACCGCCGTCCATCCGATTAATTGTTGAATCTGGTTAGGCTTCGGTTGAACCGATTCGTGGAAGTCATGTGCGATAAGCCCCATGTTGAAACACGAACCGCCATTCAGTCGTGCAGCTCTTGCACAACTTTGACGTTGTGGTCCTAATGTTCCATCCATTTCCAAGCAATTGATTCATTTAGAAGAGGGGCCTCCCTCATTCCGTGTTATCGTTGGATGCGTTAAATCCGAATGCGCGCGGGTCCAATGCGAGGACACCTTTTGCACACGCGTCTATCTCGTTGCTATTTGATTTGGATGTTTGGCAATGGGTGCGTGGCGCCAAGTCAGCACATGCATTTTGAGCACGGTTGCCTTCCATCCGCGTAATCGTTGAAAGTTTCAAGCGTCAGGATAATGTGTGATGGGATGCCCAGCGGAACGCCAGGCTCGCCCTACCGAGACGCCATTGCGGTATGACGCGGCGGAACCATTTATTAAGTAGAGGGGGGGGGAGGAAGAGGTTTCCGCAAATGGAGCAGGACGGACAAGCAGGAGAAGGAGGACCGTCGCATAGATGCAAGATGTCGTCTTATTAGACAACTCGCCCGCAGCATGAGGAGGAGGAAGAGGAGGAGGAGGAGGAGGAACAGGAAAAGGAAGAGGTGGGGGATGGAGTGAGAGGCGAAGGCGGGGGCCTCGTTCCTCTTGACGACATGCCTACTCACCCAGAGGCACATTCTGGACACCAAGTCCTCCCTCTGGGCCAGAGGGTCTGGCATTCCCACGCGCGTACCGCGCAGCACGCGAGGAGGGCAGCTGGTGGCCAGACTTGCAGACTTCTGCCAGCCCGAGACTTTGGAGGCACCCGTCCTCAGAACTCGGCCCTTCGACGAAATCCGAACCCCAGCCTCGCGAATCAGCGATTCAGGCAACTCGGTGGGCGGCGGGGGTAGGGTTCGACAGTCGTCGAACACGTGGCGAAATCCGAACTCCACCCCCGCGTCCTATCGATTCAGGAGAATCAATGGTAGGGGGGGTACGTATCACCGAGAGCGTTTCACTACTCGCAATATGCCTGCTCGCAAACGTCAGAAAAAATACACGTTTGCCTCGATATCTTGGGTTGGCAATCCCCCGCGCCAGATCCAGGTCATTGGCGAGTAGTTACCTTGAGAGACGGGGAACGCGCTTGTCTAGTGTAGGGCTCGGATGGCGCCACCTATCTTGACCCCCCGCAGAGCATGGTTTCGATCAGTTTTGCTGCGCTTTGTTTGAGATCTTACGGTGTCCGGGACCTGGAGGCTGCCTCATGCATGCCGGGGCCGATGAGAAATGCGGGGATGTTTCGAAGAACGGCGTCGGGGTTCTTGGCTCCAGGGAACTCACGAGGTTCCTCCAGTTGTCTCCAGTTGCCTCTGGGGGCCTGCAGTTGCCTCCGGAGGCTCCGGATCCCCGTCGACTCCTGGACCTCGATGCTCGATCCTGGTTCCTCGATGGAAGTTCGCGAGGATTTGTGAACCCGTGAAGTTCCCTGGCAGTTGATGGATCCCTTGCCCTCGGTCTGAGCTTTGATCGAGGGCCCTCCAGCCTCGTACCCTAAACCTCGAACCTCGGTCCTCGTTCGTCGAACCCCGACCCTCGAACCTCAATCCTTGGTCGGCGACCAACGATCTTCGACCCCTCGAGCTCCGACCTCGGGCACTCGGTCTTCGGGCATCACTTTCGGTCATCGACCCTCGGCCCTCATATTTATCCTTCGGTGGCGCGCACAAGGCGCTG